CATTGAATCTGATTAATATGGAACGCTATTACAAATTATAGGAGATTCATAATAAAAGATTAATATTTGGTCATTTGTGTCAACTAAGGCCATCTTTAAAGTGATCAATATCCTCTAATTAATTAAAGAATGACATGATTTTTCATTATTCAAACAACTTTTCTTATTTGTTTCGTTCAATCAGCGAATAAAGTATGGGCGCTAAATGTCATTTTTGTTATAACAAAAGCTATTCACTTTGAAATTGAATTTCATTACAATTATTCATTTCAATACTATTAAATACATTCATTAAAAATGCAATCATCCACCTACAAACGACGAAAATATTGTACTGAAGAAATAAATGAATTGACTAAAAATAATATTCAAGCAGCAGCTGATGTGAATGTTGATTTTAACAAATGTATGAATGCAACAATTTTTCAATGGATGAAAAACTATGATGAAATAACAAGTGGTCAACCATTAACTTTATATTATGCACTTATGTCTACGGTCGCACATATATCAATCCAGAGTAATGTTTTACAATGGAACGATATTCCGCGTCATTTGAATATATATGGACTAATCGTAGGAAATTCAGGTATCGTTCGTTAAATTAAAATAATTATCTAAACAATTTCTTGACTAGGAGTTGCAAAAAGTGCTTCGGTTCGAGAGAATCGAGAGGCTTTAGAAGAGCTTTACGATTTTCTTTCAACCGATTCTCCTAGTGAAACGAAGGTTACCGATTCTATCATCGATAGATTTACTGAATCAGGGCTTTTAGATCAGGTAAGTCTAGTTTTCTTTTTGGAATTCTGTTTCATATTCAAGAGCATTAGTTCATACACTATCGAATTTGTGTAGAAGTTTACTTTTCCTAATTCAAATAATAGTGCTGATGCTACTTAGTCTAACTCAAAAATATTCTTTGTATTAACACAAAACAAAGTTCTTTGTAATCTTATTAGTGATTACATTTCATACACAATTAGTTTCATAAAAGGTTTTCTAACAAAATTTCCGACAACTAAGAGACCAATCATTTCAAGACTAGAGGAGCACATTTAATAAAGCAATCGTTTTCTTTTCATACGGCTTCTCAGTAGAGCTAAGGTTATAAGATGCATTCAGTCGAGAACCTGATTTTCAAGTGTCCAGTTTTATAGAATACAAAAACATAAACTTAATTTTTCAATTTTGTACCTTCGAATTCTGCAAATCAGTGAGATTACGAGCCAATGAACCTATTAATAGTTCATAGTGGCGTCATTAGAAATTTAAGCGTGCTGAGATTAAATCTCATCTCTCCTTGCAATATACTCGTTGAGTTGTTTCATAGACTAACTATAAGAAGAAAATTTCAAATAGTATTGTTTAATTTAAAAAAAATATTGTATACTAAAGTTTCAATTGTTAGGATGTGTACTAGTTTTATTTTTCCGATGAAAAAACTTGGTTTATGTTTAGAGTAGAAAAGTTGAATGCAAAAGAGAAAATATTTTTTGAGAACAAGACGACTATTTTGATCATTATATGAGAATATATCAATAAGTTGTTAAAAAATTAATATCTAAAACATGTTCCATAATCCAAAAAGAAAGTGTAGCTCAAACGATCATTAGTCATAGAATGTCGAACTATTGTTTTATTCGATTCCATTTTCGAAAATGTACGTTCAAAAGTAGTTCACAATAGTAGCCTCTGTGATAGTTCGTTTTATGACTATATAAATTTTTGGAAAAACTTCGGTAAATGGATATCATGTAATAGATAAATCAATTATATTCATTGAATATTTATTTTGTATCATCGGTTCTAGTACCATCGATTGATCTGAGAAAGCATTGAGATCATCATTTACCAGGCTGGTGAATAGTTTTAAAGGACTACTCTTTTAATTCAAAATTCTTTGATGAAAATGTATTTTGTAGTTTGACTAGAATAGTATCAATGAGTTAGTATTAATTACACACACTCTTGGAGAATCTTCGATTTTGATGATCATTATTTGAACCTAGTGTACTATTCATGACTAATTTTTTGAATTTTGAAGCAACTACCGATGTTTACTGTTATATAGGTCCACTCACCATATCGATGCTCTTTTCAAGATATAAATTCCTAGCAATGTGAGAAATTTTTGGAAATGATCTTTGTTCTGAAGATTGATGAATCTGTTCAATTATAGACTCGGTTAATTGTTATACATAAGGAGTTTATATTCACTGCGTTTTTATTATCTTCTTCAATCAATTTATTGAAAATTAAAACAATAACTTTAGAGGTCTTTAAGATAGAGTCTATTAATATCCAGTGGGAATACTAATGCATGTTAGGCTACGATTTCAAGTCCATTTGAGTAGAATATTAAAAAATATTAATTGAACTCGTATAACTGTACCCAAAAGCTTGATTTAATTGCAATTGTGTATGTATAAAACGTTCATTGTTAATGTCTGATACGGTCAAGCATATATACACTTTCCAGTATGATTGTATAAGATTCATTGATTGACCAGATTGATATACATACATCTACAATGAGGAAATTCAATCAGTGAACATAACAAAGTATATAAACTGTGTTTGACATGACATTCTGTGATAGAACAGCCTGTACAACAGTGACTCTTCCTCTCATGATAAGAGACTTTACAGCGTACAAACAATAGTCTAGTTTTATGTATTTTGATTGGTGTCTTAGTTAAGATATTACCTATCGAAACCTATATCAATGCAGAAGTATAAATCGTCATTATATTTTCTTAATATATAATGAATAAAATTATCCAATGATTTAGCACCAAACTAATGCAGTCAAAATAAATCAATAAGATATTCCTCTATAAAATTCTTTGAGTTTCTTTTCTTCCACACTTAAAGTTCGTCTATATTCCAAAAACTTGAAGTTGTATTGCATATTTTGTTGATGAGATATCTTTAAACCGCATAAATCAGAATGTTTTTTTCCGTGGAAAACTTTACGTTTTAAGTAAAATTCTATATATGTTAAACTTGAAACTTGAATTCAATTGAAATTTCAACTTTCAAGTTTCAACTTTGACGGAGTTTCAGGGATCAGAACTTGAGTAGGATTCGACACACACATCATCGTACCAGCTGAGGGTACCAAGAAAGGAGTTTCAGGAATGAGAAATTGAATAGAATTTGACAGACTCACTTTTAAATTTAAAACTTAAATTGAAACTTGAAATTTCAATTGAATTCGAGTTTGACGCTACTGGAAAACCTTGATTGGATTCAACTTAAGTATAAGTTAACCTAATTTATGTAAGAAAGGATTAAGTTCGTAATAATCGAGGAAGCTATTTTTTCTTGTATGAACGAACAGAAAGCAGTTTCGATTATGTATTGACAGGAAATCAATGTAATCGCTGTACAAAAATGTTTGTTTTCCTTTATTATCATGATCAGAGATTATGTTTATCAAAATCGTAGAAATGCAAAACTGGTATTTCAACGAGTATTCAGAATCTATCAAAGTAATCTTGCAAAAGCTCTGAAGAACTTCTGACCTTCTTTGATTCAGAAATCTAGATCTGAAGAAACAGATATAAATATCTTCTACATCGGTTCATTCGAGTCTACTACATAGATATGTGATTGCTTTACGTGTACTTTTATAAAAATTTGAAACTTTTTTCGAGTATGAACATGGATTTTTAAAGCAAACAGACATCTTTCTAAATGTGATCTCATGATCTCTGTAGTGTATTTAGAAAAAGAGAAATTTCGGTTATTAATTGTAAATGTGACATAATCAAGTTAGTGAAGAGTGTGAACAAAAACGCGATAAGATTTTATCAATAGACTAATTCATTGGACCAGAGTAGTGAAATGAAACGTTAATGCTATATTCTCGATCTAAATGTACAGGGAATCATATGAAAATGTTGAATATTGAATTTTACCATAGAGAAATTTCATAGTGAATAATTCTTATAAGTTGAAAACAGTTTTGAGAAATGTTCTTCTTTCAAACACATAAAAAGCTTTTGATGAATTTGATGTGGTTTTGATTAAAATAGCTTCAGCAATGCACAAATGTCTTAATAATACAAGAAGAACTTGATCTTTTTTTAAAACAAATGAATTTCTTCACAAGTGATTCCTTGAGCTCCAATCGACAACTATTTTGTCAATTGTTCGATGGATTAAATATGAGAAAAAAGACGAAAGGTTACATACAAATAATTAAAAATGCACGAATGACAATATGCGGCACAAGTACAGGAGTGTTTTTATCATCAATATTAAAAGATTTCTCAAAAAATATTATGATCGATGGTGTTGTGGTTTGTTGTCTTTTCTTGGTAGTTGGTTATCGACAATATTTACGTGAACATCGTGTTGCCAAAAACTTAACATATCCTACAATCGCACAAATTTTACTTGTTGCAACAGCATTAGGTCCTCGTCGATTTGTTTACAGCCCTGAAGCATCAAAAGTAATTGATAATTATTGTGAAACATTAACTAAACAAGCAGAAGAGGCTACATTATCTCGATTAATATCATTTATGGCAAAACAACCGACACAAATATTGCGTATTAGTGCGTTAACTCAAATTTTGGAATTGATACCGATAATCTTACAAAATATTAATTTGTAAGTTGACATCCATCACATTTTTTTCAATAATTTATACCAATGTCTATTTACAGAAAACGTACAAATGACGATAAATTTGGTTTAAATATTCGATTATACAGAGAAGTGACTGATAGAATTCAGCAAATGTTTGGCTCACAAATAATTATTACAGAAGCATCTACTACTCGTGCTATTTATTTTCATGGTTATCTACTAGAACAAACTTTGAAATTGTTTGATACTAATCCATTGGAAAAAATTAGGAAAAATAACATTACATGGATGGAAAAAAATATGGATATTACTATTTGTCGAGAAATTCTTAAATTACCAGTAGTTATCATCACAAAGGAAAACTTTTATTCATCCAGCGGTAAATTCATGAATTTCTAACATAGCTAAAATAAAAAGAGAAGAAAGTCATTAGAATGATTTTCGAGAATATTGACGTATCCTAATAGAATACAAATTTCTTTGCTAACGAACAAAAAAGAAAGAATCTCTTTGTTTATCTTTGATGTGCTAATTGATTTTAGAAAATTTATAGAATAGTTTCCGTCAATAGGTTTCTAATTTAATTACACTATTAGTAAAATTATATTAAGATGATGACTTTTTTTTCAGTATTAATTCGATATGGAAAGTAAACATATGAATGTCATCATTTACTTTATCCGAGACTCTTATTATTTCATAAATTCATGCTTCTGAAGACATATCAACAGTGCTAATGAAAGAGACAAATGTATCACTGTTAAATAATTCCTTCTCGAGATCGTATTCGTTACAGTACTATTACTCTTTTAGAAGTCAGAAAAATTAATCGATGTGTGGGAGCGAAATGTTTCGACAAATTAGTATTAGAAGATTTGTTAATCAAAGATTATTTCATCATAACAAGTACAAAACGACCTATTGAATGTTTTGCAAAAAAATTGCCTGAAAATGAAGATGAACAAGAAAATCTTTGTGAAAAACTTAAAGTTTACAATATTGAACTATCAGAATACGTATCATTATCAAGATCTATAGGAATACAAGCACTGGATAAATTGAGTACTATTGGAATACAACTATTTTCAAAACCACCTTATAATTCTTTATATGATGTTACTTCTACAACAAAAAATTCTTTATCTAATAAACCATTATCTTCATCAATCTCAATCGATTATGCAACACGAACGACAACAATACCTTTAACAACTATGGATCAATGTATAAATAATACTAATCGAAATGAATCAGAAACAAGAAATGTAGTGAGTTATTTTCCTATCCAACCTCTAGCTAGATATGAGTATTGTACATAGAATTAAACAAAAAAATTAATATTTCGTATTTTCTTTTTCAATTAAATTGAATGGAATATTTCCAAAAGAGATTTTTATTTAGTTTTTTCGACACAACCAGCGTTCTAGTCGATGTATCACATTGCGTAGTTCCCGTAATAATCGAAACAATAATAGTATGATTTATTGACACAAAGTAGAAAATGAAAATAAAATAGTTTCTTCGATTTTAGATTCATCAAGACAAGATGGAAATACAACTGATGATACAGATGCAATAATACTTGATTAAACTTCTTAAAACAATGATTTATTTATTGATGAAAAATCACTACATTTGATTTGTATATTCAATCTTATCAAGTTTTAGTCTTGTGTTTGAAGGAAAACAATAATAAAATATTTCATCTATATCAATTTTGACTTTAAAATATCAGTAGAATCAATGAAGATAGTACTGTGTTATTATCTTTGATAATTATATTACTCTAGTCAAAATTTTAGAATTCTTTGAGACGTATAACTTTTAACGTTTATTCTTGAAAGATAGTATCTTTAAAAATTTATTTACTCATAAACAAGTTATTTCTCCACAACTACAAAACAATATTACACCTTTCCTAGAACTAAGAGAAAAACATAAGTTTCATGCAAATTATAGTTTTTTATAAATAATACATACAAGGAGAAAAGTAAACTTGATTGTGATTAACGATTCTTTTACGTTGAAGAACAGTTTCATAAAAGCAAGAACAAGTACACAAGATTAAATTAAGTTCAAATTGTAGTGCTTGCAGTTCAAAGGAAATTATTTTCATAGAGTAACCATTGATAAAGTTCTATACAACTTTCCTTAGCCTTTTTATAGTTGGATATTGGTATATAATAATGGTGTGAGTGTGTGTGTGTGGGGGGGGGTGTCGGTGTGTGTGTCGGTGTGCCTGTGTGGTGTGGGTGTAAATGAATCGCATATCATGCTCAACCCCACACCCACACTCCACATCCATCCCCCCCCACACCCACACTCATACTCCACACTTACGGCCATACCCCACACCCACACCCACGCACACGCACCGACACCCACAGCCACCCCCATACCCAACACTCGTATCCACGCTCACACACTCCAGTCCTAGTTCTCCGTTGTCGTATTCAGTGAGAAAAGTTGAGCAACTATGGAAAGATCTCAACGTCAGATCAAATATTGAAATTCGAAAATTTTTGTTTTAACGGGTTAATGATTGCAGTCTTTTTCACAAGAAATCAATTTAGAACACACTGAATCAGTTTTAGAATGGATTAAATTAGAATGTTCGTTTCATCAGTAATGGAATGTTCAATTTGCGGATTTTCATTTACTGCCGATGTATTTAAAAATCGCGGATATTAGGACACCAATATGAGATATGCAAAATGCAACCACCATGTTTAAGTCAATGACTAGCCAATTAAGCAGACGAATGCAATAACTCTCTCTGTCATGTTCAATGAAGTCTGATATTGCTCGAAGATAATCGATTGACCTTTCTAATTGTTCATTTACATGCTGTGTATGTGGATCTGTTGTTCTGATTGATTTGCTTTCATTTAGTTGTCTTGATAGTTCGGTAACAGTTCGTCTAACTAATTGCTGAGCATATATGGATATTCGTTTGTTGATGTAAGCAATAATTAATAAAAATCCTATAACAATGAAAGTGAGAATTGTTATGTCCACAATTAACATAACAGTTAGTACGTTTATTTCTTGAGTAATAAAGAATAATCGACCCAATGCGATTAAGATGAATCCCACGTCAACCAAGACCACATAGGAAATGGTCATCATATGACTCTTGCCACGGTCGGTTCTTATTACTGCGCTTCGAATTTCAGAGAAAAAATACTCAACATTCTCAGGGATTCTTAAGTCATAATAGTTTTTTGGATCGATCTCTATGAAGTGGCCATTGTTTGTGACACCTGCAAGAACAATGTTTCATGGAGTGGCAAATCTCAAACTGTTACCAGTTTGAAGAACTGAGTGTCAAAATTTTCAAAATTTCAAACTGTTAAAATTTTCAAAACTTGAAATTCTAATTAACTATTTA